TATTAACGCGTTAACGCAAATCAATATTAACGGCGTCATTTTTTTTATCGCGCGATTTTTTTTTTTTTACTTTTTATTGCAGACAAACACATATACAGAAAAAAAAATAGAAACAAAGAAAAGGACTAGTTCAGATACATTGTAGACAGAGATTACAAACAAGTTGGAGATACAGGGGGCCAAAGAAGAAACCCAGAAGGGCACATAGGAGGGGGGGGGGGGGGGACATGAAGTGGGAGATGGGGGGGAGGGGTTAATAAAAAAGGCAATACAAGCAAACAGTATACAGTCATAGATATACCGAAAGTAAACAGAGAAACAGCATAGAGTATTTACATGAACAAATTTACAAAATATTTAAAAAAGCAATTGCACACAGCACGCCTATTCACTTTTTAGTAGTATTAAAATGATAATTCAAGGGACATAAAGAATAGATACAAATGTGTGACTAATTTGCGATTAATCGCGAGTTAACTATGAAATTCATGCGATTAATCGCGATTAAATATTTTTATCGTTGGACAGCACTACTTTTAATACAAGATAAGATAAGTTAGACTTTATTGATCTCACACTGGAGAAATGTACTTGTCACATTTGGCATTGATAGAATCACTCAGATTGTGCAAAATACAGAAATTTGCAACAGGTTAAGGTAAAAAAAAGAAAAAGTCTATCCAAAACATTATCCACGTTCAATTCAATTCAATCCAATTTATTTATGGATTGCCCTAAATCACAACAGTAGTTATGTCAGAGGAATTAACAAAACTGTTGAAATCACCAACATAGATCAGAGAATCCAAGAGTTCAAACACAAAAATATAGAACACATGGTATTGGTCCATATGGGGGAGTTGACCAATGTCCATGAAGTTTGATAAATGTTGTGTGTCCTGGATCATCACCTCCATTGTCCTTTTAGTTAGACCCAAGTTCAGAAATGAAAATCAGAATGCAGTAGTGCGATCAAAAACTGTTGGCCTATGTACATTGGCTGACTCCACTGTAGTGCGCCACCCATATCACACAAAAACAATTAATACAGCCATGAAATAGTTATCAATACTTATAGACCAAACTTGTAATCAGACCAAATGATCGGATAATAGTAAACAAGTAAATGGGCCGCAACAAAAGCGGAAAATCCGACAAAAGGGCTGTGCGTATGTTGTCAATTTGAAAGGAAAATGCACTTGCTGACCCCAAACAGCTGCAGTGAAGGTTGTTCGAGGAGAAGGGCCAAGAAAAGAAATTTCCTCAACAAGCTTGAGATTAAATGTGTCCTGAATGGCTGCAGAGAGAGTGGGCTGTTGGCTATAGTCCAAGTTGTTGTTGGATGACTTTAATAAATGAAAAAGAAAGTGTGTTGTATAGGAGCTTAAATGCACGGTGGTTTGGGCAGTCCATTTAACATTCTGTAAACCTGTTTAAATATGAATAAAGCAGAAACATGAAACAGGAGAGGAGGTCAATGGGTCAATTTACAACATTTCACATTTAGAAATAGTTGAAGATCTGAAATAAAAACTGTGTTGCCTAAAAAGCACTGTTTTCTCGACACTCCACAATAATATATAAAATAGACTACGGTAAGTTCATGGCAGGACAGGCTTCCGCAAATATCACCTCATAATTCTTTCTCATCATGATGCTTAAATCTGATTCAAACCATTTTATACAATCTTAATTATTATCCATTTACTAGCTCAATTAAAATCTGTCAAGGTCAGAAATGTTCTAATGAAGCATCCACTTAAGCGTTGTAAAAGTCTCCTGCTGTTGCAAAACTCCAAGGACAATTTTTAGCTTGCATAATTGCCTGAATTATTTTAATATGGGACTGTCTCATTTAATATAAATGAGGTGCAAATGTTTCCAGCCGTGCAGCCCTGAGCGTGCAGTGACCTCTCCAACATCACTTTATTGTAATGATTACTGTGCCTGTAAATTTAATACGGAATCTCTTCCTCACTGTTTCACTAAGGGAAGGAAAACAGCCTCACATGCTATAACCTGCCATAGACTAATGTCAGTTGTGCATTGTCCCTGATCAAATAAATACATAGAAATATGTGTTTTTGTGGATTCATCATTTGATTAGTTCCAAATGTCTATACAAGTCATAATCCACCATCATCAGGACAGCGAGAGCTTCCACCTTCTTTCATCGGCCGTCAGCCTTCCCGAAAGAACCCTTTGTTGTGTCCTGTCAAGTCCGAACAAAAGTTATTCAGAAGAAGGAACTGGGATGAGCAGGACATCAGGCATAGGAGGACGGACAGAGCACCATCTGGGCAAAAGGTCCCAATAGCCTGATCATTGCATAAAGTGCAAGTTCGGTCCAGCTTATACTTTGTGGAGAAAAGTCTACAGGAAGTCAGATACATACAGTATGTAAATAGTTCAGATGTATTTGCCTGGATTTTTGAGAAATAAAGAACACATATATTAAATATTTCAAATCCAGGTATGTGGCCTTCAGGTCCGAGTCAATTGCTTTGTCTTTGTCCATTTGGTCAAGTTTCAGGTTGTCAAAATAGAGACCAAAGTCAGACTTGAGTATTGTTAATAATACTGCACTGTTCCACTCTGCGACCTGTGACAGAATGACTCTTTCCTCCTTCCTGTCCACATCTCCTCATACAGGTGTCATCTTATCCAGGAAAGCGAGTGTTGAGTTACTAGACATTGTCAGAGCAGGTGTAGTGAAATAATCTTTCATTGCCTGTCTTTGTACAAAGTTTTTGTGAACGTTTTTTGGCTCACCTTCTTGCCCCTCAGGGAAAAATCTGCAATTATCCACAATGTAATGTGACACTAACAGTGCTTTGCACTTTTTAGACCCACACTACAAAAGTGTTGCCTAATAGGGTTTGGGCATAAACTATATAGGGATATTTTTTTATTCTTGAAGCAAGAAAAAGAGTATACAAGCACACTGAATCTGCAGATCAGCTCACTCTGTTATCAAAACTATGGTCAAAGCGCCACCAAGACACACATAGATACCATTTAAAGACACCTATTTATTAGTACCCATGTATTTTATATGTATATTAAAAAACAAACACACACCTTTCACCCTCCGCGTTCAGTTATCCCTCTCTAAGCTTGGGTCCTCTAAAAGAGGCCTGGGAGTTCTGCGCAGTATCTTTGCTGTCCCTAGCACTGCACATTTCTGGACCGAGATGTCCGAGGTTGTTCCGGGGATCCGCTGTAACCACTCTTCTAGCTTCGGGGTCACTGCCCCGAGTGCACCGATCACCACGGGCACTACTGTCACCTTTACCCTCCAGGCCCTCTCCAGCTCCTCTCTGAGACCTTGGTATTTCTCAAGCTTTTCATGTTCATTTTTCCGGATGTTACCATCGCTTGGAATTGCCACGTCCACCACCACGGCTGTCCTCTGCCCTTTGTCTACCACCACAATGTCAGGTTGGTTCGCCATTACCATTCAGTCGGTCTGTATCTGGAAGCCCCACAGGATCTTCGCACGCTCATTCTCCACCACCTTTGGAGGAGTTTCCCACTTAGACCTTGGAGTTTCCAGCCCATACTCTGCACAGATGTTTCTGTACACTATGCCAGCCACTTGGTTATGGCGACACCTTGGGTCTTGTCTGGTGTGGTATATCTGGGCCTCTATCACTCTGGTGCTCGGTGCTATATATATATATATATATATATATATAATATATATATATATATAATATATATATATATATATATATATATATATATATATATATATATATATATATATATATATATATATATATATATATATATATATATATATATATATATATATATATATATATATATATATATATATATATATATATATATATTATATATATATATACAGTGCCTTGGTTCAAGGGGGCCGAATACTTTCGCAAGGCACTATATATATATATATATATATATATATATATATATATATATATATATATATATATATATATATATATATATATATATATATATATATATATATATATATATATATATATATATATATATATATATATTATATATATATAAAATGGAAATCGTATTTTCCTTTGGCTATTATTGGCTGCAATAATACAAGGAGTTCTGGAGAAGTTGAGGACAGTTGCAGTTGGTAAGACTTTTTCAGTATAGTCTATTTAAGGGAGGGTCAAACTGGTGTGGCTTTAGGTTTTCATTCCAACCTACAGGAGGTCTACAATATTGATTGATGAATTGCTACAGCAAATCTTCCATTCAGTAACTTAAAATGTTCATGGACAAATTTAATTTAATAGATTATGTTTGGCCTACATTTGACTTAATTATGGCATGAACAGCTCTAAAAATATATATGTTGTTTATTTATAAACAACTATTTATACTTCTAACCATATGAATATCATGACACTGAAATTTCTCCACTGTGAGACTAATAAAGGTTTATCTTATCTTATCTTATCATAATATTAACCCAATAGATAATAAAATGCTATTACTAACCCCATAGATCCATGGAAACAACCCGGATCATTCTTTATCAATCATTTATAAAGAATTGTATTTTTGAAGACATTGTTTGATAACAATGTCATAACATTGTTATCAAACATTTAGGTAAACCTGTTCAGCCATGGATCTCGCCTAGTCTTTGGCGCCATCTAGTGTACAAAATAAATCAGGATTCCCCATTGTGTATCTGTTATACAAATTATATCAATATAAATGTATCCTCTTAGTTACATCTCCTGGAATAATTCTGTATACTTTATATAATTACAATGACGAAAGGCGCGTTCAGTTAAGCGTTTAACCTGTAAGTGAAGTTTCAACCCAAGTAAAGGTTTCTTTAAGGGTTTGTCCTCTCTCGATTTCCATAGCTTCTATCACGTGATTCTTTCTAGTGGCTGGGTTAGCATATGGGTTAGCAACATCGGCTCAAATAGAAAAGAGTTACATTTATCAAACATTTGTTTCTTTGTTACTCTGAAATCTGAATGATGGAGATCGGAACAGAAATCAGCAAGAAAATAAGAGTAAGTAACAATATAAAGGCAGTTTGAACATCAGCGCAGTGTGGTGGTGCATGTCGATGCTAGCCCCACTCAAACTAGCACAAGCTAGCAGAATATACAGTGTGTTGACCGCAAGGCTTCATTCAACATGGGCTATTCGTTTATTTATATATATATGATTTACGTCGATCTTTATTTTTATCTTGAAACTGTTCTTTAGTTTTTATGTGTGTAGCTGCTTTGTCTGCTCGTATCAAATTACACGTCTTGCTTTGCAGGCTGCCATCAAAGGGAAGCTGCAGGAGCTCGGTGCATATATCGGTAAGTACCAACTGTCTGTTGGACATTGAAAATGCTTTAAACTGATTTAATCTGATTTCTGTGTGTACGTCACCCTCAGATGAAGAGCTTCCGGACTATATTATGGTCATGGTAGCGAACAAGAAAACGTCCCAACAGATGGCTGACGACTTGTCGCTTTTTTTGGGAAACAACACTATTAAGTTCACTGCCTGGTATGAGAAAACATAATAATAAACGTCACAACAGTGTATCTGATCTAGTCTTCTGTCCTGTAGGTTACAGGGAGTTCTGGAGAAGTTGAGGACAGTTGCAGTTGGTAAGACTTTTTCAGTATAGTCTATTTCAGGGAGGGTCAAACTGGTGTGGCTTTAGGTTCTCATTCCAACCTACAGGAGGATGCCATACGCCACTAATGTCATCAAATCTTCAGTTTAAGAATGTACTTACTTGGGGCTGTAACAAGCTAATTGATTGTTGAAATAGGAAATTCAAATAATTCTATAATGAGCAGAAGTAAATATTTTACTTCAACAACCCAATGTGTAACTTGTAAGTAATCTCTATGACAATGTTCTCCAGGGGCATCACTTGAGCATTGTTTTAGAAAGACGTATAACATATCTTGATCTTTTGGTATACAGTATAAAAAATAAATAATCAAAAGAATAATTGACCAACAAATTGATTATCAAATGAATAGCTAATTACAGACCTAGACTTGATGGTGTCTGGTATGCTCCAACTTGGCCAGAAAAAAAGGCCTCCAGTCACCTGTTTGACACCTGGTCTATTTTAACCTTGAGCACTGGAGTGTGCACATTGCCATTAAACAATGTGAAGATCATATACAGTACTGCTGCACCTTTCTATATGCTCAACTTTACCATTTTTATTATAGAGCCTGGCGCTTCAAAAAACCAACTTGAGCCAGACAATGGCCCACCGATTGGGAGGAGGCGCTCGTCTGAAGGCAGCAGGGTTGAGGAATCAAAATCTTTAATGGTTTCCAGTTCTCGGTCTGAGGCACGAGTGTCCAGTTCTGCTTATGAAAACAGGTATTTTTTGGTTTTTACTATTTTCTGAATAGGTTAGTATAAAACATAAATGTTTTATTTGCGTTTTGTAAGGAAAAGCTCTTCCTCAAGACTTACATCTGCTGTGAAACCTCTTGTGGAGTCCATTCCTTCTGAAGCCATTATTGACATTAAACCAGACATGGATGATGACCTAATTTCAGAAACTCATGTGGAAACCAGTTCCACTCGCACACGCAGCTCATCAAGCAGACCGAGTATTGAAATTTACAGGCCAAGTCAAAGCAAGTACACATCATCAAACTCTGGTGAATCTTACTCCAGACATGTTGAGACCAGGAGCAGCAGATCTTCCAGATCAACTGCCAATAGGGTAAGATCCACATTGATCCTTATTGTAATTGAATATACATAAAGTAAAATGTATGCAGGTATTGTACAATTTATGTGTTTTTTTTCTAAAATCATAGATATTTACCTTGTTGGCTGTTTATCTTGCTTGGGTGCTCTTTCTATTGCTTCTGTCCCTTAATTACACTGACATTTCCCCACTGTGGGAGTAATGAAAGTTATCTTAAATGGCCAGTATGTGTAAACTTATAACTTATAACTATGAATGTGCTCACCGTATTGTACTTCATGCTTCTCATTATTCAGCCTGAGGAGTCACGAAAGCGCAAGGCTCCAGTTGCTAGTTCAGTGGTGCGAGTGAGCCGAACAGAGGAGGACAGTGATGTGGAAGACGATGACCTAAACTACAGTAGCAGAGGAATGTCCAGTCGTGTCTCCCTTCCCTCCAAAACAGAGCGCAAGTCGGTCATCTCTTCCCTGTTCCCATAACTTGTTTACCCACTTATTTTAAAAGTGTATGTATTTGTTTTTTTCCCCAGACCTACACTGCCACCAGCAAAGCAGGCAAATAGAAATCTGATCCTCAAGGCCATATCAGAAGCACAGGATTCCATCACAAAAACCACAGCATATCCACCAAGTGTGTTTTAAGCTTCTTTAGCTTTTACTGTAACAGTGTTGACCTTTTTTCATACTATTTATTGGTCAGTTCCACAGCGACAGACTGTTCCTGTTGCCCCGCGTACTCGTCTGTCTACTAGTGAGGAGATGACTGCAGCCATTCAGTTGGTGCAAGAACACCTCCACAGCCTGGCCCCCCGACCTTACACCTCCTCAGAACCATCTGAATCTCAAACTGGTTTGTTCAAAACTTTGTTCTCCCTTTATCTGTTCATGTTTTTTTTTATGAATTTAACTTTTTTCCTCCTTCAGCTCCCAATAAATCATTGGCGTCACGTCTTCAAATGGACGCTCGAGAGGGCAACGAAGGACGGCGGCGTGAATACAGTATGTCGATTTTTGCCAATATTACAAGTTAAACTTTAGTTTAATCTGTTTTCTTACATTGATATATTGCCAAATTATCTTTAGGTACGGATGTCACTGGAGGCTATGATACGCGTTCTTTTATCATGAGTAAACCACAACTGGAAGAGCCATCAACCAGATCTCTGCAGGACGTGGCCCCAGCCGCCCCCCGCGCTATCCAATCCAGGTTTAATGTCCAGTATATATATTTTTATATAATATTATATAAATATAAATATGAAGCCTTATATAATGTGTTTTTCATACTGTTCATTGTCAAAATGTGTACTTACAGTAAGGAGCCAGGGGCTTTTGCAAATCCCAAGTTTATAGTCACACTGGACGGTATGCCCAACCCGGTGGGAAACTTTGGAACAGGATTGGAAATGGACATGGATGATGTTCGACCTCCCCCACGTGAAGGAGTCATTGAGGACAACAGTAAGGCCAAAGTCAGCGTTCTACAGAGATTACATGGACCGATCATTGAAGGTATTAATGCAAAAATGAGTCATCTGACTGTTCCCCAACTCTTCACTGTTATTCTGACAGTTAATAAGTAAATAAATGACATATCCTCAATCAATGGACCTTTTACCCAGTTGGACAGTTGGATGTGGTGTAATGCTTAGTTTTGTATTTGTCAAATTGTTAGTTTATTTAGTATAAGGTTTGTTGAGCTGTTGTAGTGTGGCCTCCATTCCCTGAACTACAAAAATGGCAACTGGTTTGGAATGAGAAGAAATGTGATAGACCATCATATACCCTATTTAATATTTTCATGTATCATTTCATCAATTCTGCATACTGAAACCTGTTCCCTCTGTTTTTCTTGGTTGAAAATCAAATGGCATATTGTTTTAACCTAACCTACTTCCTAATATATCAATTATCACTGTTACATGTGATAAAGAACACATTTTACAGTTTTGGTAACCATTTCTTTTAGATGAGTTGATGGATTATGAAGAAATGGGAAAGGACGTCCCAGTGAAAAGACAAAAAGTTTCAGAGCGCTGCAAGTTCTGGCCGGCCTGTAAAAGTGGAGAAGAATGTCCATACCACCACCCGACAACTCAGTGCAAGTAAGTGTTTGTCAGATTTGTCAGAATATATCTACATGAATAGTTTTATTATGTCTTTGTTTTCTTTAGAACCTTTCCAAACTGTAAATTTGGAGATAAATGCCTTTTCATCCATCCAAATTGTAAATATGATGCCCGATGCACAAAGCCAGACTGCCCTTTCACTCATGTTAGCCGTAGAGGTACAGCCCATCCTCCACCAAGACCAGGTTTGTCTATCGTTCTTTTGCCGTTCATTATGTGTTTATATTTATCCTAACCATCTTTACTCTACTTTCTCAGCACCACCAGTGCAGACTACAACTGTGTGTCGCTTTTTCCCAGACTGCAAGAAAATGGACTGTCCGTTCTACCACCCAAAGGTACGGGTTAGGCTCATAACAGCTTGAATCACAGAGTTTTTGGACTAAATGTTCTTTCGTCATTATTTCCTGACAGCCTTGTCGCTTCGCCGCACAGTGTAAGCGAGTCGGATGTTCTTTCTACCATCCCACCACTTCTGTGCCCCCAAGACACGCACTGAAGTGGACCAAGGCTCAGTCCAGGTAGACGTGGAGAACTAATTTTCAAACACCATTATTACAACTTGTACAGCTCATTTTTAACACTAAACTAACCTCTAATGTCTCTCGCCTTTTCAGTTAATTCTCAGAATGAAGATGACATGAAAAGGACACTTCTCAATTGAATGTTATTTGTTTTTATTGTTTGGTTGAATTTTAATGTGTGTTTATGAGCACGTCATAATCCTACTCTAAAATGTATAAAAGTCCATCACATTGAAATCCTGTCTTGTGTCCTCAGTTCTTTTTTTGAAAAGACAATGTTATCAAGCACAAAAATAAATTGTGTTAATGCAAAGATTATAGTGAAGTGGTCACAAATTCTGGTGGGAGTAAACTCATTTAGATCGAGGTCTGTTCCATGGACTTTCGGTCAGTGGCACTTGAAGTGGGCGGGGCTGATTTCGGCAAAAGGCAAAAATGTTCATTATCAGCTATCTGGTGAGTAACGGTCATAAGATCTACGTTAATACAGATCAACTTTTTCAAAATTCAGAAACCGCAATGTAGCGAACACGTGGTGCTTTTTTCGTTAACCACTGTGTTGTTTATTGTAGTTAAATTACCATATAGTCGGTTAACCTCCGCCAGGGCCTCAAACTATTTATTTGATACCTTTACAGCCTGTTGACGTATAGGCCATGGTTAATATATACAGTAAGTCTATGGTTATGACACGTGACTATGGGCACGTGACCGACACGAACCTGGCGCCCTGTACAAAATGATGCACGTTCATAATAAAAAAAGAGCCTTACAGAAAGAAAACTACAAGAAACTACAAGGACGCTCGAGACGGTATTTGGCAAACTTATAGTAGCTTCACATAAATTAGCAGCTAAGTCGTGGAACATCAGCGTCATCCGGGACTTCAGCCATTAAAGGGGACATAACCCGATTCTATTCAATATGTATTATATAATGATCATCTATAACCTCCATAGCTCTTAATAAATATATATAGTTCATATTGAGCGAAAACAATGGAGATGAGTCGCATACCTCCTCCTTGAGTCTCCTTGTGCCACATGTGTGTCTTGGAGCACGGATCAGCTGAATCTAGAGCATTGGATCTGACGCCTGCGCACATGTTTTATAAATGTTCAATTTTGCCAATTTTGGGGGATTTTCTACGTGTGTTTGAAAGTCGGTGTCCAATCGGATCTTCGAGCGGTCTCCCGTGAGGTAAAACAGTAAAGTTATTTTGCTTACACGCTGACACAGGGACTGCCAAAGATTGTCAGAGAGTAGGATGATCCACTCTCATGTGTGTATTTATTGTCCCATAGTTGAAATTACAGCTGCGATTGCAATTACTGATGCGTAAAAGACGCATTATTTTAGCGGAATGTTACGAAAATGCGTCCCCAACACAGCTAATGTAGCTTTCGATCACTGCACCACGTGATCTACGAGTGATGTGTGTGTTCAGAGTCTGGGCTTGAAAGTGCATTACACAAAGATAGGAGGAGACGCAGATGCAGCGCTCACAAGAGCCAGCACCTGGCTGAAGAGTGCGCATTATTGATGTAATTATATATATATTTATTATTGACATCGATAAATACATTATAATGATATGATGTATATGAATATAAGATGTTGTTTTTCTTTCTTTGTTTTCTTAGTTTTTTTGTTTTACATATCTTTCAGCTGTGATACTGAAGCAATATATAGAGTCATAGACAAACTGCTTCAGGAAGGGCATCAGGAGTACAGCGTTTTTTTCACTTGTAGTGGAATTTTGTAAAAATTATAATAGTCACAGGTTCAATTTTTTTCCCCATCAACCCCAAGACCCTAAATAACATTTCTATACAGTGTAAAAAGTTAGCAATAGCATTTCATTGTGTTTTTCAAAACATTTTGGTGAAATTGAATTTCCGTTTCATTTTTTTCTTTGTCTTCATGATTCCATATTTTTTATATAATTCATATGACAGCTGTACACTATGAATATTATAAATCCACAGGTTGTACTGAAAAAAACAAAGTTTACTGCTTGACTCTGCATCACAAGATGACTGTTTTATGAGCAATTATACACAAAGAAAACCAGGCGAGGAAAGTTCCCCAAAATGAGCTTAGACCTTGAAGGGTTAACTATTCTAAAATGTGTTATTTTCGCATGTCAGTACGGTACAGAGCTGGAGAATATGTTCATTCTGTTTGGAAAGAAATCGAGAGACATTCTCATCTGACATGCCTCTCTCTCTAATAAGTTGCCTCTCTCTCTAGGGGAAACTTTTGTGTACCGTTCTCCCGAATCTCACTAAGACAGAGGGGTTTCTTGGTTGCTGGGGTAAGATTATGGAATGCATTAAAGGACACATTAAGATGTTCTCAAACAATAGATACCTTTAAAAATATGTTTAAGGAGATGCAGATGGAGAAATATAAAAAAAACATAACTTGTATGTTGAAAATTGTTACAATGATTGATTTTTGTAATACATGAGTGTCACAAATTTGTTGAACGGATCACCCGCCGATTTGGTCATCGGTTTTTTTGTTATTGTTGTAACTATTACAAAGGGGCATGGACAATAAGACAATGTCTTCATCATGCTCCTTTTCACCATGTACTGTTTATATTAATGTATGATATTGTAAAGAAAAAAACATGAACATGGATGAATAAATAAATAAATGAAATGAATGAAATGAATAATAAGAACAGCAAACAATTGGAGCGATCTTAAACAGCATAATAAAATTATACACAGTTACAGAACTAGGTGAAGTGGAAACACAAAGCTATTACCAAAATAATAGCTACAACTGCATGGATTGGGTTTGATACAAGTTAACAGTGGCTGACTTAGATTTAATGTGAATTGATCCAAAGTGTGTCCTTTGTTTAAGTACATAATATATTATACTTTGTCACAACATGAGGCACAGCTGTTGTGTTGTGCACATAGACTGTGGTGTTTGTGCAGTACACTGTTGTGTTTGTGTTTAGAGTATCACTGCTGTTTTGACCAGTTGATTAGATTAGTTGTGTGACTAATAAATAAAAAACATTTACAAGATCTGCAGATTGATATTGAAGGTGCTCTTAATCAGTCAAATACTATAGTATACACAATAAACTTCCCTCATGCATTTCCAAAAAGTGAATGTAATTACCATATTTTAAATCCCAATATCAAGGAGCCAAAAGAAAAAGCACTTTAAAAAAAACAATCCTTTAAAGTGAATGTCACTCTGTGAGTAGTGAACATGGATCTATAATAATAACACAAAGGAGCGTGACTACCTGTGACCAGCGGTGGCATCACATAAAGTTCCATTTTTACTCATTTACCCTCACGGCAGAGGATTATGGCAAAGAATTGATCATTTTTGTAAATTAGTGGCTCCATTGGAGTACTGCATTACATTCCATAACATAGCTAGAGCAGAGGTCAAATGTGCAAGCTGTCTTTCTATTAGGTTGTATTTCACTCTCTCTCTTTACAGTATCAAACCGGCTTGGACGCTGCTAAATGCCAAAGAACCGCCTGCCTTTGCCTTTCAAAACTCCTGCAATGAGAGAACATGTTTTTGTGTGGGTGGGTTGTTCAGCTAAGCAAAGCTGTTTTGGTCCCGATTTCTCTCTTTTTTCATGTGATAATCTTGTAACACCAAAAGCTGCCTCGCGATGGGGACAAACAAACTCATCATATCTTGAATATTATTATGCATTGGTTTTATAAAGCACTTTTCAGTAGCTGCCATTTGTCATATTCACTACTGGAAATAACTTAAAGCTTTTGATAACAGTAATGTCATCTAAGTGGACTTTTGGGATGTTTCTCTTGGGGATCTGGCCGAAACATACAATAGCTAAGAAAGAGGAAGAGGGAATAACCAAGATACTAGGTCAAAAACTGCATCAAATACATGTTCATGTATATCTTTGTCTGGTGCTAACACAACTCTCAGAATCCTGTTAATCAATGTGTGACTTCAATGGATTTTTACCAGATTACCATATAAGTTTCCACCAAACATGTGACTTCCAGGGTAATGCAACTCTCTTTATTTCCCTCTTTACCAGAAGTTGCATCAAAAACTTGTGAGGTAAACAAAAAGATAGAGAGATAGATAGGAGGAGAGAGAGTGCGAGAGCGAGGGAGCGAGGAGGAGGCACAAAAAGGCAGAGACTAAAGAGTCATTCATGTGGTGAGCCCCAGAAAAACCCTTTTTAGGCGACTTTCTCTCTCACACAGATAGAAACTCCTCAAAGCAGAAGTGCAAAGACTGCTGAGTGCTTGAGGGCAGGTCGGCTATGGCACAGGGCTCCGATAGCAACGACACAAGCTACAAGTCTCCGTCCCCTGCCAGTCGAGGGGTAAGTCCTCAGATTAAACGCACATTTGTAAATACTATGCTTTTACACGTGTTTTGTGCATGTCCTTCTCCACCACCTTTCACATGTGGAAGAGATGTGAATGCTTTCATGACTCAATCAACGTGTAGCCTTTTGAGACTTGCATTGCACGATTCATCCCATGTCCATTGTCTGTTTCAAGGGCGCAAACTGTGAATGACTCGCCAAGTGTGAGGAACAAAGTGTGTCAGGTTTTTGTGGCAGCTCGAGATTTTTGAACACAATTCTCAATAACTTTTATCATTCAGCTGCATTAAATTCATTGTTAAAGCAGCTATTCATATATTTGGTTTAGCAGTTACCCTGTGTCTGGCATTGATGTATACAACCAACATAGCACTTTTGAATAGTACTTTCTGAGTACTTATGATACCAGACTGAGGATTGAAACGGTTAGGAAGTTATGGGTTCTGTACCAATGACTCAATGACTTCGAAACTCAGCCCTTCCTTGTTAAATTACGGTTGTATACTGTACTCAGGCACCTGTCTCGAAATACCTGCTATACTGTATATGTTTACAGTTTGACTACAGTTGCTTACGTGCTTCTGTTATTGTTTTTCTCCAGGGTTCAGATGATGTTAAGAAGGTGATGCGGCGCGAGAAGAACAGAATTGCTGCGCAGAAAAGCCGCATGAGACAAACTCAGAAAGCGGACAGCCTACACCTGGTGAGACTTTAACACTGTAACTACATGGTCATATACTGATACATGTATTAAAACGCAAAGATAAAGAGTTGTGCTATAATTACACCAGGCTACCTGACCATGTGGCAATGTGTCATGGCTTCTGCTGTCACTGTAACGCTCGTCTTAGTTTGCAAAAGCCACAGGAATAAATTAGCATGTGTGGGCTTCCCTCCCCAGCACACCAGAGAGGCAGAGATGCTGACTTCAACTTTTACTATATACCCAACTCTCACTCGGCCTAGTTAATCTAAAACTGTTCTTCCTTTGTAGTCCCCAATATAGCTGTTCTTTGGAATCCTATCAACGTATGCGGTAGGAAGTAAAGTAAACACAGTGTGGTTTTGCTTTTATCGTGAAGCTTGATAAACAGGAAGACAAATTTTCCCTAGAGGTGACACCAGACTGACTTCCTGTTTCCTCAGTAGTAGTTTTTTGGTGAGGTTTTTGAAGTTGTTCAAAGTTGTATGTCGTGGGCAGTGAGAGAGGGGAGAAACGCGGCAGTCACTTCTTGTAAACGAGAGCAGTGGGCTTTCTGGATGTGTGACGCATGAGTGCACGGGGTTTACCCAGAGCCTCTGTGACAGTAAAGACCTATGTCATGACCTTTGCATTGCCCGTGCCTCAAAAGGAGGGAAAGAACACGTCTTTACATGGGTAATTAAAACATTTAGTGTGAAAAAAACTCAAAAAACATACATGTGTCTTTTTTTATTATGACATCGTTTTACTCCCATATACTGACACATGCTCATACGTCACCCCCTGTTACACACACACAGACTGTTATGCAACTTAAAGATGTACTGAATGAACAAATAATTACCAAAGGAAACATTTTAACATCACACTGAACCAACACAAATAGAGCGGAAAAATAAGAGGAACAAGGACATTTGAATAATGTGTTTGTAAAACCGTATGTAAAACCTCCATATTTTTCTGAATGTTTGGAATACATCAGCACATCTGTATTGATTACCTAAACACATAATAATAATAATCATAATAATAATAATGATTTAATACCTTTTAGCCAAATCGGAGGCAACGTTTGTATGGGTACCAAAGGCAAAGCATAGGAATAATATGGCTGTATGGTGTTTTATATTATTGTTTGTTGGTGTTATTGTCTAAACGCATCATATAAATTCTTCTTCTTAAGGAGAGCGAGAACTTGGAGAAAGAGAATGACGCTTTGAGGAAGGAGGTGAAGCAGCTGACGGAAGAGGCCAAGTATCTGTCGTCCGTCCTGAGCAGCCATGAGCCCCTTTGCACCGGCCTGACCCCCTCTCACCACGGCTCCTACCACCAGCACATCTCACACTACCAGCACTGATGACCCAACGGACCACCTCGCGAGCGCTGGACTTACAACAATAAATCTGTCAATACGAGTCAATGACAGCAAACTGAAACAGGGTGACATTCACTATTTATTTTGCTTCTGCTCATCTATGTGTTCATGAGTGTGATTGTGCCGACGAGTGCCAGTCTATGTTTACAAAGGGAGATATGAGACCAATTATTGTTATTGAAGAGAGTATTTTTGTAAGCAGCTATTTACTAGTGTTTAGACAACTTTTTCTAACGCTGTCTTGTTTATGGAGTCGTTTTATGTATTTTTGCTCAGGAGCCACTGACAGAATTGATTGTTTGACATGAATGTACAAAGGTTAACATAACCAAAGCCTGCTGGGCTGACCATTTGTTTTTGTGCTATCTGTAAAGTGATTGTACAAGAAAAACATTATTTGACTATTTATTAAATGTGAAGCCTCGCGCCTTATCGTGCAGACCATGTCTTTCATGTGTGTTTTCTTGTCTCCTGTAGACAGGGTGTGCACGCCTGTATGGCTTGATAAACGGCACAATGCACTTCTCTAGATGTTATCTGTCTTTGTGTCTGTAGGTGGCAGTGTTGAGCAGTGCAAAACTTGTTGCAATAGTTGATTAAGTTGCACAATGTCTGTTTTTACTTCACTTGAGACGTATTATGTTGACTTTGAAATTGTAATAAAAAGATGAAGATATAAAAAATAGGTAAATATTTAAATAGTTCATTTTTACAGTCATATAAGTATTTGCTTAAATTTCTCTGCACGATTATGTGTAGTTTTATCTCTTATTCTTACTTTTTCAATGTAAAACCAAAAAAGTTCCAAGCACTAGTCTTTGAAATTTGGAATACTTGGCATCTTATGAAATGTTTGCAGGCACACATCAGTCAGTCCTTGCTCCGCCCCGGGACCTCCTCGTACCCAAGGTTTACCCAATATTTGTAAAAGAGCTCCGGAACAGGGTCCCGGGGCAGGCTGGGAGGACACGTGTTCATGTCATTAGTTCATATCTGGGACTGGGGCAGCGATCTCCAAGTGGACTCTTTATGACTCTTTCAGAGCAAAGTTCAGAGACATGACCGAGACGACAGGAAACGTAAGAGCAGCGTGAGTTGAAAAGTGGAAGTAAGCTCTCAGTTGCGCTTGAAGTTCAGTGTGAGCTGTAAATAAGAGGAGGCAACATCACATCAGAGCTAATGAGGCTTACATCTACACTTTTGGGGAACAGTGGCTTCAGCGTAGATCTCAAGTTGAAGAACAGCGTGATCCCGGGATTATGAGTGAGAAAGAGGCCATTGATGACAGTAAAGTGAATGAGGAAAACAATGAAGTGGATGGGGAAAACAATGAAGTGGACTTTGACTTACAGCCTAAAGTAGAAGAAGAGCTCCAGGACTCAGAGAAGCAGCTCGGTCAGGCACAGACCCGGCTCTACAAGAAGCGCTGGATTATAGTTTTCCTCTTCAGCAGCTACTCTCTCTGCAACTCTTTCCAATGGATACAGTACGGGATCATCGGAAACATCTTCATGCACTTCTACAATGTGGACGCCTTCACCATAGACTGGATGTCCATGATCTACATGCTCACGTACATCCCGTTCATCTTCCCTGTCACCTGGCTCCTGGATAAGAAAGGTCTCCGCGTCATTGCGCTTGTGGCCACGGCTCTGAACTGCGCCGGTACGTGGATCAAGGTCCTGAGCGCCAAACCAAACCTGTTCGCAGTCACATTCTTCGGACAGTTTCTATGCTCCTTCGCTCAGGTCTTCATTCTGGGGATGCCCTCCAGAATCGCCTCTGTGTGGTTTGGTTCACAGGAGGTGTCCACTGCCTGCTCCATCGGAGTATTTGGGAATCAGGTAAACTTGTTATACATGGCCCATGCTTTGTTAAAGCTTTATCCACTTCATTACTTATTACCCTTAATGCAGCCATGAATGTGAGCACCATCACATGACCTGGAGTGGACCGCTGCGTCTAACGTGACAGCTCGTGCGTAATTACGCAGATAATCTTTCAAGTATAATAATTTATTGTATTCGTTGTGATCATTGTCAGGACAACTGTGCCAGGGTTAGTTCCTGCAGTGCAACATGGTCTAATTAAATTAAATTTGGGAAAATCCTTCAATATACCATTGAAGGATTTCCCCAAATTTTAGGAAAGAACCGCCATTTCCACTTTTTAAACACTCTTGGGTCTTATTTGACAAGCACGTATCACCAGAATGATTGACAATTGGGAGGACCAATCGTTTTGATGATCCACCCGGAAGTTGAAAATCCTCCTGTATACCTTTTAAGTCCCACTATGATGAAATTTCAGTGTTGCATTACTGGTTTCAGAACAGTAGGATAGAGGAGTAGACAACACAAGATATATGAACCTTAACCCTATAATAAAATAAGATATTTAGCATAATGAAGCCAGAATGAAGAACAAATTCTCTGACTTTAGCATAAATTTAAGTATACTGCAGCATAAGTATATGCCAGTCCTATAGTGATTCCCGTGTCCTGTTGTGAAAGAACAAATGGTTTGCGTCGGTAAGTAAAGTATAAAATCTCATCTCAGTGAATGTATATTTCATAGTTAAAAAAAACAAAATTACATAATTTCACAAGATTCACAGAACATTAACCATGAGTCATGAATCCAACTACACTTTTTTTCTAAATTCATAAACTATTAGTGAAGGACTTTCAGAGTACATAAAACAAGGACAGCAGAGTTGAAGGCTCAGTGGCATCACATGTATCTGGGAATGTAAAATCAGCCTTTTGTTACTTAATTGGAGAGGATTGCGAACCACGCCACTGCTAATGCTCAAGCTTCCTCTTGGCTTCTCCAATCCTTGAGCCTCGCTTTGGAACAGTCAGAATGCCACAGGACAATAACTTGAAGGGCAAGCATGCAAATTCCCAATTCTGCAGAAAGAAAAGGAAGTTTATAGCCGCTAAGGACATCGCTCATGATCTGGATTCTCTTGAGTGGAGCTCTGGACCACAAAGCATCTCCAGTCGCTCTTGTTTGGATATTGAGGCTATTGACGGTGATTTAACCCAGCGCATGCCCAAGGCTAAAACTAAACTCTACCATCGTCGTTGGTTCATTCTTTTCCTTTTTTGCACTCTGTCAGCCAGCAATAGCTTCACATGGCTTCAATATAGCATTATCAGTAATATATTCATGAGATTTTACAACGTGGAAGCTCTTGCTATTGACTGGCTGTCTCTTATAACTCTTTTTAGCTATGTTCTCCTGACTCTACCTGTCCTCTGGCTTTTGGACCGTCGAGGAATCCGCGAAGTACTCATTGTAGGTGCTGCTTTTAACTGCATTGGTGCTTGGATCAAAGTAGGCAGTGCTCAGCCAGACCATTTACCAGTAGCATTCTTTGGGCAGTTTGTTTCCTCGGTTGCCACAGCTTTTATTCTTGGTATTCCATCACACATTGCATCAATCTGGTTTGGAGAGAAGGAGGTTTCCACTGCCTGCTGTATTGGAGTTCTTGGAAATCAGGTGTGTTGATAGTAACTTCATGTGTGTATCAGCATGTGGTTCATATCTACAAGGAGTCTCATGCAGCGATCTTTAAACTTGCTCCTCGTAGTTTTTTCAAGGCTCAGTCAGATGCCGAAGTCGTATAGCAATTCCTGTGTCCTGGTGTGAAAGAACAAATGGATTGCATTACCCCTGGGCTGAAACAGACATCAGTTCAAGATGTCTGTTAGTTTTGGCTAAAATACATACAATACAATAGCTTTAATAATTTACCTTGAGGATGCTACATGTAATTACTGTGTAACTATGTATTAGCAAATCCAATTAGAGAGGCAGTCTATATTTCGTTCGTTCGTTCGTTTTCCTCCGCTTCATCTGTTGCCGGGTCGCGGGGGCAAGTCTATATTTATTTTTTATTTTTTTCCACAGGTAGGTATTGCCATCGGATTCCTGGTTCCTCCTATTCTTGTCCCAAATGTTGAAGACAAAGACGAGCTGGCTCATTATATCAGCATTATGTTCTACATCACAGCAGGCGTGGCCACTCTCCTCTTTGTGCTGGTCATCTTTGGTATGAGCTATAAAACTAATCCATTTAACTTTTTTCTACCACAACGTTGAGTATGTTACTGCACATTCATAACATCCAAACTGGAAAGACGCCAGGACTAAACTGGAAAAAAAACCTGGACTTGAACAAAACGACTACATTCATTTTCCCAAATTTTAGGAAAGAATGTGTCTCGCATATCACCAGAATGATTGATGATTAGGAGGACCAATAGATTAGATGATCCACCCGGAAAAAGAAAATCTTGTGGAATGTTCACACTGCTTTTTTGTGGACTACTTATTTATTTGTTTTCAGAATATCTGCCTTGAGTAAAAGCCCATTGTACAAATTTATTGAGCCAAGTCCAGAGTACAATATAATGGGTTAATAGTATGAAGCCACTCTCAGACATATTATGCTAATTATTTGAGGCAGCTAAAATACATTGTAAAATACCGGTACATTGACAAAGGACAGAAAAACATTGAAAATAAACATGATTTTTTTGTGAAGCCAAACAAATCTAGGCTTGTTCCTACTCTGAAGACGGACTGTGTGAAAAAGTCTGGCTTCTGTCAACACTATTTCAATGTCCATTATCACAACCTTTTTGAAACTGGATGATCCGAGACAAAAGGAATTGTGGTAGTCCTTGGTTTTAGTTTACATCTAATATGAACCCAAAAAATAGTCCCTTTGACTGTAAATGTGCTGAGATAGACATCTTGAACCAGTCACTCCTCCCTCAGCCCAAAAATGACAGAAAGACTTATTGTGCAAGAAGGAAGTCACAAGGTATAAAATCTAATCAGCTAAATTTAACCACATTTGGCTAGTTTTACCACTGTTGTACCTTTTTGGCATAGTAGTACAAATAACAGTGCAGGCATTGTTTACCCTTTTTACGTCTCAGTGAAAGCTCATGGCTGAATAATTGCAAGTCATATAATTCAGTTTGAATGTGGCTTAATGAAAACCCTGTTGTTCTACAGGGGAGGGATTGTGGGCTTGTGCAAAAAAAGTTGTGCTTTCAGAATTACAATAGGAAGCCTGTGAGGACATTCCATAGTAAAGCTGTGTTCCACCATTCACACAAAGTGGTCTCGGCTTTTATCAGTTCTAAAGTTTAGCATTATATGGAGATAATGAGAACCTTGGTGTAAAGATCTGTGTTTCTTTGGCGGTGTGTGCAGAGAGCGTGTTTTACACCATAGCAGTAGTTTGATGCTATGACACATCCTCAGCACACCCTCGGAGTGGCTCATGCCAGGTGCCATGTGTGAGGGTTGTCCGGCTGGCCTGCCCATCTGTGCTGCTGCTACAGACCTATGAGTCAACAGGGCAGACAGAGTCCCACTGTGGTGTGCAACAAGTGCTATGGGCTGCCCTTTAGGCGGTGGATGCAACAAACCCTACTTTATTTGGACAAAAGATTAAGCCACCTTCCGTAACTAATTATCAATGACAGTTAACAACACGCACAAATACAGAAATTAGGCCTTAGGTTGTACAATATAATAGATCCATGGATTGTACCTGAACTACAACTCAAGCCGCTAAAATTGGAAAAGAAATAAATACAAAATTGGTTTATTATTTGTTGTTTACATTTATGGATTCCCTGTATCTTATGGTATATGTTGTTATTTTCATTGTTTGTTAGTATTGATCGTGCGTCACAATTTGTGTCCTAATACTGTTTTTTTTTTTTAAGTGTTCCAGGAGCGTCCCAAACTGCCCCCCACCCAGGCTCAGGCCGTGGCTCGCAGTATCCCTCCTGAGCAGTATTCCTACACCGCTTCCATCTTGAGACTGCTTCGCAACAAACCGTTCGTTCTCCTGATCATCACATATGGTTACTATCACCAACTTGCTGCGTCTTTGTCATTCAAGCAAATGCCCCAAAACAACATTTAATTTACATTCAGCCAGCACACACAGCTACACCCATTTGTTTAAGTCGTATGAGCACCCAAAGTTCACCTACGGACTAATCACTGTTGCGTCAGGATATGGTATCACTTATGAAGTTTAAGTTTGTCTGTGTGCAGCCTTTAGTTTCCAATCACCTGCTAAAAATACACAAGCATGATCAACCTGCGCCCTCGTCCTGCACCTGCCTCTGTCAATGTGCACACAATTGTTCCACATCCCAGCAGCAGATATGACAAAAACACAAGCAGTACTGTTGTCAAGTATCATAGTCACGGTACTAAAAGAAAATTGCTCACTACTAATTCAGAACTTTATTTAAGGAACATTATTAATATACATTTTATACAATATATAGGTATTTTTTGCTACTGTCTAGACATAATACAGTATCAGCATACAATATACTTCAATGAATAACATGGTGTGACCTCAGAGCACTTTCCAGGGCTCCTTTGCCTCTATACACGTCACCAAATGGTTTTCAGTTGTCTACTTTAAGACCTGCAGCAATGCTCTTTAAGTAACGCTGTGAAAAGGTATTTAGTGCCGCCTGGTCCTTTTCATAGAAGCCCTTGGTTCTTTGTTTTGGGAACTTGGCTTCAAGGTTGAGTCGACCCAACTCCAATCTCCAAAAAAGGTTCATCTCAGGGCACATTCACTTCAAACCCAAACCCGAAACACCACACAATACAATTAAGATTCTTACGTTCTTCAGTTCTATGACAAAGCTGTTTATTTTTTGCAGGTTTGAACGTGGGTTGTTTCTATGCTGTCGGCACTCTGCTGAACCGAATGATCCTAGAGCATTACCAAGTGAGTGTTAACCGGATTTGATACTATTGTTTAGCAGTTCCCGGTTAATCTGTGTTGTTTAACCTTCAGGGAGAAGAGGTGAATGCTGGGAGAATAGGCCTTACAATAGTCATAGCAGGAATGTTGGGGTCTCTCATCTGCGGCGTGTGGCTGGATCGAACCAAAACATACAAGTAATACACATAAAAAGTGCCTATTTTCTTTGTTTTTATTTATTTTCATGTTTGTTTTGGGGCGAAGTCCTGTGTTATTTCAGGTGCTAAAACCTGACCTCTTGATTGTTCTGCTCTTCAGGGGGCTATGTCCACACCCGACCATTCAGTGGTTCTCTGGATGAAAGTGTGTTTACTGTATACTGATGCTACTGATCACAATGCACTGGGTCGGCTGTTTGATTGTTTAAGGATTTCAAAATTAGTAACAGAAAATAGTCTAACCAGTTGGATGAAAAAAAACATTCAAGTAAATTAATATAATTATGACCAAACCACCTTGTATTCTGAGTTTTTCTAATATATGCTTTACAAAGAGACGTTTTACAAATGCTTGAGGTCTAAACCTTTTTGCATACGATAATCTTTACAATGGTAAGACTTTGAGGAAGAGTTTGAGGAATGTTGCTTTTGACTTTTCTTGCTTTTCTGTTGGATCGACGACCAAGACACAAACTGCTTGTTTATTGGTACAATTAAAGTTGATGGGTTTCTTTTTACATGCACTCGGATGTCGGAAAGGTTGGAAATGTTTCATAAATGAATGTGTATTTATTTAATTTTGACCCATAAATAAGAATGTGTAATTATATTATGACATTTTTGATTGTGTGTGGTCGTTTTTGTGGCTTCAGGCAGACGACTCTTGCTGTGTACTTCATGTCTCTGGTGGGGATGATCGTCTACACTGCCACCCTCAACCTTGGGCACCTGTGGGTGGTCTTCATCACAGCTGGAGCTCTTGGGTATTGTACTGTCTAATATTCACTTTTACTTATTTAATGTGTTGCACCTTAAAAAGCTAATGATGCTGTCAGGACAGGTTTCACAAAAATCTCTTTTGATAGCGAATTTATCAGAATTCCTACATGAGATGCATCTACGACACTTTCCATACATTCTCCTTCTCCTGCTACTGTTTTTAGTTGCAGAAAAAGAAAAAAAGGCTCCATATTTGTCTGTTTGACACTTGATGACTAGAAGGCTGAATATGAAATTTCCATCAGATAACGTTTAACAACCAATATAATCCACACCAGTAAAATAGGCCATAAAAGTGCAAAGATTATAAAAACTGTCTTTCAGTAGGAAAGATACAGCAGCAGAATATGCAAAAAACTGACTTGTACTGGAAAAGCTGTAAATATGTGTCCTTGTTGTATAATGAATAACCATAACAAACAGAACTGTTCATAGATGACAAGAATCTATAAACTTTGATGGTGTTTTCCTACGTCACATTTCAGCTGAAGAATAGGTCCAATAGTTTTTATGCAATCCTGCTTACAGATGCACATAATTAGTAGTTAAGAAGGCTGAAAAACGTGTGTGTGTGTGTGTGTGTGTGTGTGTGTGCATGGGTGGGTCTCTATGTATGTATGTATGTATATAACTCCAACTCTTACATTTGTTTAAACGCCTTGAGCAATAAAGAAGCTGTTTTCTCTGTAACAACAGCAGAGGCAAAACGCTGCAGGGCTCATTTGTGTTTTCAATCATTGTTCTTTGGACCCGAAGCCTGGGCTAAAGAAAAGAAGAAATTATTGTTATTGGTCAACTCCTACTGTAAATAAATAAATAAGGTCCATATTCATGTAATTACATATAAATAGGTCCATATTCATTTCTATAATGGCAGTCAAAATGCAGTCTATAAACCAATCCTCAAGCAATATTGTGTGTCGGATGAAAAGGGTAGTTTTTGGGAAATATCATTTGTAGCTTTACTTCAGTAGCCTACTACAAGTTGTTGATGAGATGCAGATTCTTCCACACAAAACAGGAAGTTTCATGTTCTTTGGCCATTCTTTGAAATTCTTTCTCAGAATCTGAATCCATTATTGTAGTTTCCTTGGCTCTCTTTTTTGTGAACAGCCCACTCCATGATATTCCCACAGGAATTTGCAAATATTTCTGTCAGAAATCTTGCAGACTGTTATCATTCTAAATTCTTCGCAGTTTCTTTCTTCATTTCATTTTTCATTTTCATTTATTGATTCATTTCGAGCAGATCACATAAAACAACATAACAAATGTAGAACAGCTGTACATAAGTACAGGAATTAGAAAAGATTTGGCTCAAAGGAGTGGGAAGAAGAAAACGTATTGAATCCCACCCCTATTGTCCATTGCTACGTTACAATATTTAACTTAACTTCCACTTCATTTCCATAAGAAGAAAAAAGAAAAAACAATAAAAACACAAATAAGGAACATAATTCTCAATGCAACAAAATTCATAACATTTCCATAACTTAATGTTTCATTTGTAAACTACTTTCACATTAGAACACAAAACTAAGTGCAATATAATTTTTGTTTACAGTGAAATATAGCTTATAGGATAGACAATATGCAGTAACACAATTTTACATACCAACAATGGTAAGGACAGAGGCACCAACAACAGTAACACAAGAGCAGCAGCGTTGGAGCAGAAACAACGATGGTAAGAACCAGCACAAGAACTGATACGGACAACTGCAACACAACAAACTATCTAAGTTCCACTAACTCTGTATTCTGACCACACTGCATTTTTGTATAAGAGTTTAAATTTGTGAATATTTTGGCAAAGCTTCTGCTGTAAATCCAGAGAATTCCACAATTTTACTCCACATACAGTTACACAAAAACGTTTGTGAGTCGTCTGAGCTTTTGGTAGAATAAAGTTTCCATATCCTGTCAAATTAAAAAATTTGAGAAGAATTGGCCTTGACATTTATCTCTAGAACATTCTTTGAGGTTTAGAAAACCTTCTGTAGCACGAGCCAAAGCAGCTGCTTGGTGTCCTACTTGTGTCTTTACTTTTCTCATAATAAATTTCACAAAACAAAAACAATTCTTTTAGTGGACATTCATGAGTTGAAAGCAGGTGTTAACTTTATAAATATCTTATACTTTATAAATAATCACATGTCCCACATTAATATTTTTTACTTTGATGTTACAGAGCGAACCAGATGATGATACAAGTTAACAGTTATGATAATCTTTAGTTACCAAATTAGTCAAAGTTACATCATGTAGTTAAGTTGACCCAGGTTAAAGTCACGACCACATACTTACTATAGAGACCGGTGTGAAGGTCAGTCAGCAGCACTATTAGCCGCCATTTTCACACTAATGTTTCACGTAAGGCTTTTTTCATTCACAATATACCATGAATATAATAAAAATAGTTTGGACAAAGAGGTGTGTGACTGTCTCAAAATGACAACGACTTCCAGTTGTTTCAGTTTTTGTCAGACAGAATTAAGACTGAGCAAGCATTTTATGACGATATGCGTCCCAACTTCCAACCCACAGCTGTTAGTCCAAATAACACAGACATGCCTGAAGTGGCCGTATGTCTTGCATTTGTCCATTTTGTGAAGGCCAGATTCCACATGACAACCAGCTACACCAGACACTCTGAGAGCAGGACATAGACCTGTGTGTCTTGTCTGGATGGGTGTGTGTGTGTGGGTTTGGGTGTTTCGTGTTGTTTGAGTACGTGAGCTTCGTCCAACCTCTTTTAAAATACTTAATGCATTTGTTTTGTTTTTTCATAATTTTTTAGAATTTTTTTAAAATAAAATAAAACCATAATTACTTGAACCCTAGTTTTATACCACATCCATGAACTGTGTTTTGTTTGAACAAGAATTTCTGGTTAATCTTGAATGTGCTAATGACATATGCTTGGGGTTGTGCTTTGGGCCGCTGCATTATTACATGTTTGTTCTTCCAGTTTCTTCATGACGGGATACCTGCCTCTGGGCTTTGAGTTTGCAGTGGAACTGACCTACCCAGAGTGTGAAGGCACGTCCTCAGGCCTCCTCAACTGCTCAGCGCAGGTAACTGACAAAAGGGATCCGTCAATATTTGTCCCCAGATCCAAGAAAAGTATGAACTAATCATAGACAGCCTTTTCTGAACAAAATGTTAACGCTGCAATTTATTCTGGATGTATAAAACAATAACCTCATTGTTTTATAACATTTCTTAAGCTGATTATCCAATCAGAAAGCTGAATGAGTGTCATTCCGACTGATGTGCCTCCATCTGAATCCTCACTACCTAAACCAAATCTTTCCTGGATTTCTTTTTCTGGTTGGTGTATTAACAAGTTTAAGTCAGATGAGGCTGCATTGAGGGAAAAACTACCACTGCTCATCTTTCTACTCACAGTCAATACCTGGTGGTGGCTGTATCATACTGGGAAGCTGCTTTTCGTCTGCCGGTGTTACGTCGAGCCGCGTTTCCCCGTCAGATACTGTTTCCCCTGCGTCTACTCGCCGCTCCGCCCCGCTCCGCGCCTCGCACGCGGCAAATAGTGCGCGTGCTTGTTCAGCACTCGTAACCAGCGAGCCGTGCTTGCGCGGCGAGGCAACTACAGACACAGTGAAAGCACCTGAGTGAAGTTGGCCCCTACCCCACGCAAAACTCAGTGAAAAATAGCCACACTCGTTAGTGCTGGTTTGTGCAGAAAAAATATCGTTTGTGCTGTTTTGGTTTTTCAGGTATGACAACTTTATATTAATATAGCCTATATATATATATAATATGATATGACAAATAAATAAATAAATATGTATGTATGTATGTATGTATGTATGTATGTATGTATGTATATATGTATGATGATAAATGTATTTATATATATATATATAGGCTATATATATATATATATATATATATATATAGCCTAATATATATATATATATATATATATATATATATATAGCCTATATATATATATATATATAGCCTATATATATATATATATATATATATATATATATATATAGCCTATATATATATATAAATACATTTATCTATCATGTGTATATATACATGTATTCCCTCAGTGTTAAACAGGGGAAACGCGTCCTTATGGCCAAATTACCCCCGTCAGATACCGTTCCCCCTGTGTTAAACGGGGGAAACGCATCCTGATGGCCAAATAACCCCCGTCAGATACCGTTCCCTCAGTTTTTAAACGGGGGAAACGGTATCTGATGGCCAAATAACCCCCGTCAGATACCGTTCCCCCTCTGTTAAACGGGGGAAACGCATCCTGATGGCCAAATAACACCCGTCAGATACCGTTCCCTCAGTTTTAAACGGGGGAAACGGTATCTGATGGCCAAATAACCCCCGTCAGATACCGTTCCCCCTGTGTTAAACGGGGGAAACACATCCTGATGGCCAAATAACCCCCATCAAATACCGTTCCCTCAGTTTTAAACAGGGGAAACGCATCCTGATGGCCAAATAACCCCCGTCAGATACCGTTCCCCCTGTGTTAAACGGGGGAAACACATCCTGATGGCCAAATAACCCCCATCAAATACCGTTCCCTCAGTTTTAAACAGGGGAAACACATCCTGATGGCCAAATAACCCCCATCAAATACCGTTCCCTCAGTTTTTAAACAGGGGAAACGCATCCTGATGGCCAAATAACCCCCGTCAGATACCGTTCCCTCAGTTTTAAACAGGGGAAACGGTATCTGACGGCCAAATTACCCCCATCAAATACCGTTCCCTCAGTTTTAAACAGGGGAAACGCATCCTGATGGCCAAATAACCCCCATCAAATACCGTTCCCTCAGTTTTAAACAGGGGAAACGCATCCTGATGGCCAAATTACCCCCGTCAGATACCGTTCCCCCTGTGTTATTTTTTAAAACTGGACACAAAAAACACAACCTCGAATCAAAATGCACATTTTTCAAAACACAATTTTCAATTGCTTGGATACAACACTAACAATGCAAAGATCACTGGATCATTTGACTTTGATCAACCTTTCAATAGGATACATCTAAACATCAAAGTGCCATTTTTACAAAACTGAGTTTCACACCTTTAATATTGGAGGACCATTGGTTCATCCATTAAATTCATCTTTCTGCTATTTGATAACACCTCAATCTATTGAAATGAATGGGAAAAACAATCAGAGTAATGTAAAGACACATTTTTTCCACAGTAAAGTCCTCCACTGTTGTAAAGTGACAGTACCACTCACAGGAAGAACAGGATGTTACGGTAATTAGCAGTAACCTACATATTCTTCTGGTTTCCCTGGTCTTGATAGAGTAAGTCTTCACAGTGAACTGTAAAGGGTATAGGTTGTCAATTTACAGCACACAATGTGTTTATGTAGTGCTTTACATACATAGTATTTTCCAAATACTTTCTCAAGCAGTACAGTAGGCCTGCACTCTTACAGGCTGTAATCACTTCGTTGGGTTGGGTGTTTGCTACAGATAGACTGAGAGCAAGCAGGTGCAATGCTCATGTGACAGTTGATGGTCCTGCCACTATGCCTCTGAGTGATCATGTGCCCTGGCTACTTAGCTACAGATACAGTGCCTAGCGAAAGTATTCGGCCCCCTTGAACTTTTCAACCTTTTGCCACATTTCAGGCTTCAAACATTAAGACATAAAACTGTAATTTTTTGTGAAGAATCAACAACAAGTGGGACACAATCATGAAGTGAAACGAAATTTATTGGATATTTCAAACATTTTTAACAAATAAAGAACTGAAAATTGGGCGTGCAAAATTATTCAGCCCCTTTACTTTCAGTGCAGCAAACTCTCTCCAAAAGTTCAGTGAGGATCTCTGAATGATCAAATGTTGTCCTAAATGACTGAAGATGATAAATAGAATGTACCTGTGTGTAATCAAGTCTCCGTATAAATGCACCTGCTCTGTGATAGTCTCAGAGTTCAGTTTAAAGCGCAGAGAGCATCATGAAGAACAAGGAACACACCAGGCAGGTCCCAGATACTGTTGTGGAGAAGTTTAAAGCCGGATTTGGATACAAAAAGATTTCCCAAGCTTTAAACATCCCAAGGAGCACCGTGCAAGCGATAATATTGAAATGGAAGGAGTATCAGACCACTGCAAATCTACAAAGACCCGGCCTTTCCTCTAAACTTTCAGCTCATACAAGGATAAAACTGATCAGAGATGCTGCCAAGAGGCCCATGATCACTCTGAATGAACTGCAGAAATGTACAGCTGAGGTGGGAGACTCTGTCCACAGGACAACAATCAGTCGTATACTGCACAACTCTGGCCTTTATGGAAGAGTGGCAAGAAGTAAGCCATTGTAAAATTGAAAATTGTGTTTTGAAAAATGTGCATTTTGATTCGAGGTTGTGTTTTTTGTGTCCAGTTTTAAAAAATAACACAGGGGGAACGGTATCTGACGGGGGTAATTTGGCCGTCAGATACCGTTTCCCCCGTTTAAAACTGAGGGAACGGTATCTGACGGGGTTATTTGGCCATCAGGATGCGTTTCCCCTGTTTAAAACTGAGGGAACGGTATTTGATGGGGGTTATTTGGCCATCAGGATGTGTTTCCCCTGTTTAACACAGGGGGAACGGTATCTGACGGGGGTTATTTGGCCATCAGATACCGTTTCCCCCGTTTAAAACTGAGGGAACGGTATCTGACGGGTGTTATTTGGCCATCAGGATGCGTTTCCCCCGTTTAACAGAGGGGGAACGGTATCTGACGGGGGTTATTTGGCCATCAGATACCGTTTCCCCCGTTTAAAACTGAGGGAACGGTATCTGACGGGGGTTATTTGGCCATCAGGATGCGTTTCCCCCGTTTAAACACAGGGGGAACGGTATCTGACGGGGGTAATTTGGCCATAAGGACGCGTTTCCCCTGTTTAACACTGAGGGAATACATGTATATATACACATGATAGATAAATGTATTTATATATATATATTTGTGAATATATATATCTATATATATATATATATAGGCTATATATATATATATATATATATATAGGATATATATATATATATATATATATATATATATATATATATATATATATATATTATATATATATATATATATATATATATATATATATATATATAGGCTATATATATATATATATATATTACATACATACATACATACATACATACATACATATTTATTTATTTGTCATATCATATTATATATATATATATATAGGCTATATTAATATAAAGTTGTCATACCTGAAAAACCAAAACAGCACAAACGATATTTTTTCTGCACAAACCAGCACTAACGAGTGTGGCTATTTTTCACTGAGTTTTGCGTGGGGTAGGGGCCAACTTCACTCAGGTGCTTTCACTGTGTCTGTAGTTGCCTCGCCGCGCAAGCACGGCTCGCTGGTTACGAGTGCTGAACAAGCACGCGCACTATTTGCCGCGTGCGAGGCGCGGAGCGGGGCGGAGCGGCGAGTAGACGCAGGGGAAACAGTATCTGACGGGGAAACGCGGCTCGACGTAACACCGGGACAGGGTAGAGTGTCAGAGTAGATAGGAAGGTGGTTGGAGTAGGGCTGGGCGGTATAAACGGTATAAGCGGTAGACGGTATAAATTTGGCCCACGGTAGAGATTTTTGTTATACCGGCATATTGCGATAGGTCATTATGTCATTAAATTGCGCAGGCTCTGACGCCAGCAGAAAGGACCAAAACAAACCGGCATTCAGCAGCATTAGCCTAGCACTATTAGCCTAGCAGACACCACTGGAAACAACGAACAACAGCACGGCATTCACACCGTGTTTCTGTCTCTGTATTGTTGTCACAGCGGCCCCAGCAGAGGTAAATACACACACAGTAATCACAGTTTAAGCGTCTACCTTTTGGCCAATCAGTGTCAAAGGGGCGTAAGCTCGAAGCGCCAGCGTGTGCCGTGTCCGCAGCAGCATCACAGCAGAAGTTTGGGAAAGTTAGCGTCAGATTCGGACCTCCGCGGTCAATATCTCACGAAAGCTACTTTGTTAAACAAAATTATTTGTGCCAAAATGACCATTTACATCAATTGTTCAAATCCAATGCCCTGTTTTAATGAACATAAATCCATTGAATCATCCAGTTCACTGCAAGCGCAGAGAAAAGCGCTTAGGGAGCGTCAACAAATGGCAAGACCAGCTTTGTAAACGAACAGCTTTTACTGAAGTCATGCACCTGCACAAAACTCTCAGACACTATAAATAATGACCATGTCAAACTCCTACAGACTTTGATTTCAACATTTGTGAGTTTTTTATATTTTAAATGAATGCATATGTTTTTCTTTTTTTAAATTGCTTTTACAGTGAATGGTATTTACTGTAACATACATAAATAATGTATGTTATTTGTCTCTTTATTCGTCTCACAACTGATTTTCTAACTCAAAAAATATATATATTAGATTCTAATATATAAATAATTAACAATCTTGACTATTTTATGCAAGAACCTGCTAGACCTATATTGAAATTCACACACCAAATTATACCGCGATATATACCGTCTACCGTCTATGACCCAAATTATACCGCGATATGAATTTTAGGCCATATCGCCCACCCCTAGGTTGGAGGTTTACCTTGAGTCAGGACAACTTCCCGACAGACAAAGCCTTTTTTACTGTGACAAGATCTATAAACATTTACAAACTCTCTACATCTAATGTGGACTAATTCTAATCTAGAGCTCGAGCTGGCAGAGACGAAGCTCAAAAGATGTGCAACTGTGATCGGAGCAGAGGGCCTTCCACAAAGTATAGTGTCAAGGGGGCTGAACACTTAAGCCCTTTTTCCATTTAGAAATAATGTATCTTCTAGTTTTAATATCAAGACAAAATGAGGAATGTTCATTGGGTCTGAATACTTTTTCAACACACTGCAGCTGTAAAGTTGTTGTGTAGTTCACTAAAATGTTGCCAGATGTTGTTTGGAAGACTGAACTATATGTTGTTGTTTAGTTCACCACTAACCACATGTTTTTTACGTCCAGGTTTTTGGCATTATATTCACCATCTGCCAGGGCAAGATCATGGACGTCTATGGCACCCTGGCAGGAAACATCTTCCTCTGCGTCTTTCTACTGATTGGCGCAGTAATGACGGGTGAGAGACATTGAAATCTGATCTTTTTTCTAGAATATTGTTTTATTTTATATCATGATACAACGTAAAAAAAAAAGAAAAAGTCTTAAACATTTACTTATTAGTAAAGAGGATGAGTTACTCGTGGACGCTCACAGATTACACACTCAAGCTATACTACATGTTTCATAGCATTTGTTGTTTTTAATTCAGTATTTTAATGAGTACAGTTAGATGCGTAAGGATAGCTACTTGAACCCATTATGTGCAATCTTTAACTTTATAAAAGTCCATTAGTCACTGAAGCGCTAAACTTCTCAGAGAAACACAAGATTGAAGACAAAGGTCATTGACTCACCGTTCGTTTACTCACCAACTAGTTTCTGAAGAAAAATTATAGTCACGACATTCAGAGCAGGTTTAATTTTATGTTTAGAAAATACAAAAACACAACGTCATGGGCCGCCGAACATTGAGAATAGTATAATAATTTGATCATTATGGGACAATGAGTTGAAGTTGTTAATAAAACAGCGCCCTCTGTTGGTTGAATGTAGTTATGGCAGAATTATTATTACATTGGATAACATACTTGAAGCTTACTTGCCTCATTTTGTAGCAAATCAAGTTGAATTTTCAGAAATTTAACAATTGATTTTCCTTTTTTTTTTTTACATAGGTTTTATCAAGTCTGATCTTCGCAGACAAAAGGCAAACAAGACCGTAAGTTCATTCAATCTCTTCTCATGGTTAGACTAATTTTGGCATCTATTTTACAGAGATTAAAACATGCTTCACATTTGCAATTAAAGGGGGTGCATAATTTGAGCAGAAAAAAATTATTTAAATAATTGACTCTAATTGTTGCCTTTCATAATTTTCTTCTTTACTGTTCCAACATTGATCATGGATAAAATCTCTGTCTTCAGTTGATTGAAATCAGTGTGTTTAATGATCATTGTGATATAGGGTCATTAAAAACATGTTCACCAACACTCTCCAGTGCGGTGTGCCCTCAGTGATCAGTAGTGTTGTTTTAGGCGGAAGGGCAGATGGCCGGACTGGACTATGGAGCCACAGCACTAATCACAGACAAGACTCAGACTCCACACCCTCCTCCCTCTCAGGAATAATCTCTAAACCTTTCTGCTTCCAAAAAACACAAATCCTCTCAAATCTGTGCTCAACACACCACTGTGTAAAGGTAGGAGCACTGCCTCTGTCAATCAAATGTTGGATTCTTTTATATTATGCTTTTTTATCTTTGACATTTTGCCTTGAGATCCTCTCCTGTATCTTTTTTCTTTTTATCTCTACTATATCAACTAATATTTACAAAATTGTTGGAATTAACATCCACGATCTACTTTGCTAATATTAAAATGCATGCTACTCAATTACCATATTTGTCACATACAAATATGTAGTGACAAATGCAATGTGTATCTAGTTAAATCAAAGAAATGTTCCGATTGATAACACATGTTGATATCTATATTTTCCTTCAAAGATATCTTGTATTTGTTTTTCATGTTACTTATCAGTGGTCAGACGTAATGCCAAATTGGTGTACTTTTTATATGAAATCTTATTGTAAAATGATGATGACTTTTGTTTTTTTAAACCTCAGAGAACTCCTGATTGTCTGGACAGAAACGCCCCATCGTCAATAATCCTCCATGAAGAAAAGTTTTAAAGAACATTTAGCGTGTTGCTTTCCCTGTTACATGAACTGTGCAATCAGGAGGCACTTTTTTCCTTCCACATCGATCTCATTTTATTGGGAGTGGGAATTTTTTTTCCATAGTCTGTTTCTTTGTCTCAGATTTTGAGCAAATCCAAATATGAAAACAAACAAAACCTTGTTTAAAAACTGTATATTTGAACATGTAGAAAGAAAAAGCGAAATTAAGTTAACCATAAAAAAGTAGATCACTGATTTGTATTTGTTTCATATGTTTAACCGGAAACACTTTGTAATCATGTAAACTAAGAAAAGTATTAAGGTAACATTAATTATGTTTACTGAGTAAAATTAAAGTGTATTTTTTTACATTCAAGTTGGTATTTTGTTTTTGTTCTGCACATTTCAGACCTCTGCGTCCTGAACAGAGGGTTTATGATCCACCCCACTATGGCATTAACCTTATGTCTACATTGAAAAAGAGTCATAAAGCAATAGTAATAATGCTTTACATTCAAATGTTGTTTTATAGCCACACTGCATGATGAGCAAACTAATCAAAGTGAGGCCGACGTTCTGTGGCATCACCTTCCCCACTGCCCGGCATCATTCAATAACTTCAGATTCAATGGTTCTTTTTGCATTTTCCATTTTTAGTTTGAATATTAATCTTCGACTTAGTCAGTTTTTTGTTGCCCTTTTCACCTCAACTATTCAACTACACTGCCTGACCAAACAGAACTAGACCACTTAAATATTCATGTTCAAATACATGAGACTGAATAAGTCTGTGTCATGCAGAATGTAATAAGGCCTGGCTGGTCGGAAGGTGTTGTAACCCCCTTCTTGAGCACATGGGGGCAGTGTTTTATCACAAACGATAGACCCTGAAGACGCGCTCCTAAGTTTGCATTTCTTTCGGTTTTTCCCTTTGGACACAGACGTCTATTGCGTAAGTCCCGCTCCTGATTGCGCTGCGTTGGCACAGTGCGCAGATCTGCTGTGCGCTTGTGCAGTGAGGTCAGGCTCTGCTCCAGTCATCCTCAGCGTTTCCCTCTGACTGATTCGTTGATGAGATCATTGTTTTTTACCGCAACATTGACTGATCTTGAACTAAGATTGCTCATAAGTGTCCGAACTGTTATTTTAGAATCTTTTATTTTTTAATTTCTGCATTCTTTGCTTTGCAAATGAACTTCTTGTAACTTTTATGATTGATTGGGTTTACACTCATATGTCATTGCAAGGGCAGGTTTATTTGTATAGCACTGGTCATACAAGGCAACTCCAAGTGCTTAAAAAACAAGAAGAAACAATAAAATCAAACAAGGTAAATAATCATAAATAATCACAGTAAATTAAAAAGAGTAAAGATAACATCCTTCAGTTATGAGCAGCTAAACATTGTCAAAGTATAGAAGTGTCTCTTGGTTCATTAAATCACAGGAAAATGTTTTGTCCCCCCCCCCCAGACATTAAGCATACTACCATATTAGTATTGTGTCTGTGTGGTTTGGAAACATCACAGATAAAGAAAAGAGATCTTTAAACAAGGTGCTCCGCTCTGCAAAGAGGACCGTGGGCTGTGAGCTTCCTGTTCTGGAGGTTCTTTATAAATCCAGACTTTTAAACAAAGCTCTTAGGATTGTCAATGACTCTTCTGGCCACCGCGGAAAAGCCATGTTCCAGCTTCTTCCCTCTGGCAGAAGATTTCACTCTCTGAGATGCAGAACATCTCGTTACGCTAACAGTTTTTATCCACAAGCTGTTATCAGTGTGAACAGAGCACTTTAATGATTTGCACTTGTTTTGAAACTGTTTTAGTCAATCGATTTCACAGTGACATTTGTTTACTGTTTTATTTGTTTTATTTTTGTCTTTTAATGTTGTTTTATGTCTGTATTTGTCTGTGCACACTGGAGACTTTTGCTAATGTATTCCAATGTGGTTTTTTTTTACTGCAAATGGCAAATAAACTGAATCTGAATCTGATATTTAGTTTAACCAACAGTTTGAAATGTAGCCTTCATACAAAGAATTATAATTGAAACAAATGGCACAAAACCATAATGATTACCTACGAGCTGTGATGCAAAGTAGATACTGTTTGGTTTGAACATCATAAACCAGTGTTTAACCAGGAGGTGGTTCCCTAGGGGTGCATGAGGATATTACTGGAGAGACTTGAAACCATATTTGAAACATACAAACTTTGATCATGGGATTTTTTACATATTTCTTTTTTTTTTCAGAATACAAATAATATAGTTTATTATATTCTCAAACATTGAGCACACAATAATAATACTTGCTCCATCAGTATCCATTAACAAACCTTTTTTTGGTGCAGTCTAAGCCTGTACATTGCATTCAGAAGAATCTGAAAATAATGGTGCTCATGTGGTAAAAACATGGCACGGTGGCTTAGTGGATAGCACTCTCGCCTCTCAGCAAGAAGGTCCTAGGTTCGAATCCTGGTCGGACCAGGGCCTTTCTGAGTGGAGTTTTCATGTTCTCCCCGTGTCTGCGTAGGTTTCCTCCGGGTACTCCAGTTTCCCCTACCACTAAAAATATGTCCAATAGTTCTGGCATGTGCCTCCTGTACTGGCGACCCCTGCTCCCATCTCTGTGTCCAAATGCCCAAAATTAACAATTGTAAACCGCTTTGAGACTCAGATCTGCAGTGAAAAGGCGGTATATAAATAAAAAGGTTACTTACTTACTAATCTAAACCAATATATTGATAATACAAATATATATATATATATATTCAGCTGCAAAATATGGGTTGTAAACAAACTTTCCACAAAGTTGCCTAAAAATTCTAAGAGCAGTTTTTGCCTCAACCAAAATTAATTTCACTCCTGGGGCACTTGATTATTTCTATCCTAACAGCAGGGTCAGGGAGTACTCGTATACTGGGACTGGCGACGCTGGCCGGGGTACTAGGGGCACAAAAGTTTTGGAACCTCGGTCCTAAACAACGTTTTAGTTTTTTGTGATTGACTAATAAAGTAAAGGGCTAAATGAGTCCTCTGCAACAAAGATGCATCAGTAAGTATGTAATCTTTATCGATATAGCGCAGTTTTACAGACCAAGGTCACCCAAAGCTCTTTACAATTCTCTCCACACGGTGATGACGAAAGCGAGACGCTGAACACACTGATGCATCAAAGCCTCCAATCAACACTATCCATTCACAGCACATCAGCACACTATCCTGTTTTTTCTTTTTATTGAAACCACAGCTTTTCTGCTTTTATGTGCTCCAAAGTCAGTGTTGTTGATTGAGTTGTTGTGAAGCAGGTCTGTGTAAATAACCTACATTATCCCGGCGGAGGAGGGAGGGGCCACTCTGAGGATATTACTGTACTGTTGGACTAGAGACCAGAGCTGTGTGGTACCCATGTACTGCTTTATTTTGCAACTCTCCACAGAGGAGATACAATCAATCATCACAACCATTTTTCATGTTTTTCCCCCACCCAACTCTGTTGATCTGCTTCTCTTGCAGTTCAAAAATAATCCAAACAAAGAATTTATGCAAGATAAAAAGTTTTTCATTTTGCGAGACACAATCTTGTGCAGCTAACAAAAAATGAACTCTAGTGTTTGCAAGAGACTACAGAAGAGGGATTTCAGTTTGAGTAAAGCTTCTTTGATTTGACTCAGTTTCCATCCATCCATTTTCTTCCCCTTTATCCATTTCTGTCAGGGGGGTGGCAGTCAGAGCTGCACCCAGTACACAGAGCACCAGCCCCTCACTGATCCTCCTGCAGGTGGTGAGTCCACAGGAGCCTTGATTATTCAGCAGGAGCTTCCGGCAAAATTGGGTCAAGTGTCTTGCCCAAGAACACAACGACAGCAGTCATCAGTGGGAGTCGTGAAGTAGGTCTTGTGGTGGGCTCAAACCCACAACCTTCAAGCTCTAAGGCCAATGCTCTACCAACTAAGCCATTGTCTCGCCAAAGGATAACAAATCAAACAAATATTTAATGCATTACTTATTATTATTGTAAATGCAAACTTTGTGAGCCGGTAACGTAAGTGTGATGATAAAAAATTACCCTGATATACCTGATATCAGACTCTCTCTCACAATATATCACCTCATTCTTCTCAGGAAAATTTAAAGGAGTATAGCTCACTTTCTTTTTCGCCTCGGGAAAGTGGCTCTTTGGGTTAAAAAGGTTGGAGATGACGCTAATAACCAAAATAATTTGTTGTTTTGAACCCCTAGGTTTATAAGTATTCAAATTCAGACTACTTTATTTATGCCACCAGGGATTCGTTTGAGCAGCACAGGTTATAAAAACGAATGAAGCTCAAACACCAAAGTCCATATCACCAACAAGCTACTGAGTTTACCAAATGGTTAAGAGCTTGATGGTAAAAGTGCCTAAAACCAAGGGATAGAGGTGCCCCAATGAGGTAGATTTCAGTTCCAA